CAAAAAATTTGGGAATGAAAGGTATAATGTCTAAAACTGCCATGTTAAATTGATGTGCAGACGGTGTTGATCATGAATGTTGGATGATTGTTGCATTGTTTAATTTAATTCTTACATACCTTCCTTGTCATGAATATTTTTGTATTTATTTTAGAGTTGCTATTTAATTATTGGGTGTCCTGGGCCACATGCATATTCTGTTTGTATTGTCGCTTTCCACTGCCAGAATTTTTTTGTAATTTTACAATTTAGATGTTTTTTTCTAGGCAAAGGGGCCAGTCAAGCTGTGACATGCAGCTTTTTTTCCTTTGCACCAAACCATGTAGTATACAGTGCGTTGTGATGTGCTTGTCTCGTGTTTGAACAAACTCAAACTTAATAAAATCCTTCTGACAACCTAATTGCAAGAATCAACCATAGTCGCTGTTCAGCTAATCATAACTCCAGAGATTGATCCAGAGATTAATGAATCGTCAACATCACTGTGTTGCTACCCCCAAATCAACGAAGCCACGTGTCATTTCTGTCACCCTGAGTACTCATCTAGGCAGCATTCACAAAGGCAAATGGCTTTGAAACCTTAACATACATCAAGCCTCTTTTTGCTACAACCTTCAACCTGAGCTGAGTGTTAAAAAAGATTTACATGCATACTTTTGTCTTAATGTGTGGCTTGACTGAAGTGTGCTGTGCCTACATAAAGCCACACCTGCTTTTTCACCATCTGATGTTTCAACTTTTATTTTTATCCTATAGACATACCTGCCATGTTCAAGAAATCTGAATACTGGGGATTTTCGAAAGAGGGGGTAGGAGTGGCACACCAATTTACCGTGCCCCCTCTCCGTTCTTTTATCACAAAAAACATATTGAATATGAAAGGGAGGGGAGAGCCCTTAAGTGCAAACGTCAGCATTAAGGTCTTGTAATGCCTTAGAGTGGCCAAACAAACAACACTGGTAAGATTTCCAAACTACACTAGAATCTTGGTAATATGAATCTCAAGGGGGAGCAAAAATATTTGTGTCACAGAAATTTCATAGAAAAAAAGAAAACTAGCAAAATCAGTTTTTAAACTGCTATTTTTGTCCAATTAACTCTCGTATATCTTTCTAGGCCACATGTGACTGGACCAATAGGAGACGGTGCAGTTGGCTGCCGCGAAACCACATCAAAGCTTCACTTGAGGCCAACCAAAAACTTAGAGGCTAAAGTCTGCTTCACCAAGAATCAACAGTAACGCAAAAATGCCTCGTAGCCACTACTATCAACGATCGTGTTGCAGAGACAGTGGTTTCATGTGTGGCGGTTGCGGCAAACCTCTGGTACTTCCGTTTTCAATTTGCATTGGCTGCACGCATGCCTCGAAAACTACGTTTGTTTCATAATTGCATCAGCGGCCGTTTTGTTTGTAACACTTGCAAAAAGCAGCATCGGTTGCTTTTACTGGGTTAGCGTTGCACACGCATGCACTTTCCGAGTTCCATCATTGCCATATGTGATCATGTCAAGAACGACCAAGGTTTCGTCCACAGTGGTTAGGGCAAACAATAACCACCGTTCTGACAGTGCACGCTGGCCATGCCTGTACATCTTAAACTTTCAGAAAGCTACTCCCAGCCGTCGCTCGACAGTTTCAAGTCTGTATCACCCACCACGATGCGTAAAAGTGTTTGGAACATCTGAATTTTGGTCCATTGCACACAGTGAAATTTGCCTGTGAAATTCTATGAATTCATCTCAGTCGACTTCGTATCACTGATATATTGTACGTACATTTACATAAATTGAGATTCTGCAGTACTTTTACAGCAAGGCTTCCTAAATTGGTTCGCATCTATGAGTTACGAGACGTGTTCACAAAATACCTTGGTTTGTCAATGTGGCCAGACCGCGCATAGAATTTTAGATTTCCGGGAGATTTGCCTGGAAAGTTTTTCGGGAGTCTCCAGAAAAATCTAGGGGACTTGACAAATATGCATAGGGAACCTGAACCACTAGGGTAAGTCTCCCTTTGGGTAAATCTCCTTTATTTGTGACCGAATTTATGCAATATTTCCAACAAATGCTACTAGCTGAATTCATGATTGTTATAATGTAACTTTCATGAAATCCCGATCAAGATCCCCACCCTCATTAAGTCAGAATTACGAGCAATGTGGAGGGGGTCGCATAACGACACAAAAATTCAATATGACAGCGGCAAAGTTTTCACTTCTAGAAGCTAATGGTGTGTACATGGACTTCCACAGAAGTTTGCGCTCTCGTTCGTGGCACAGTGCATTACGTCGATCGCTCAGAAACACGACAATGCAATCAGACCACTGGAGGTGAGGCATAGAAGCACCTCAGATGATGAGCAAATGCATCAAAAGGGGCCCTGCAACACTTTTCTGAGTTAATATGGAATAGCCTCACCAATAGCATATTATGCATCACAGATCACATTCTGCTAACATTTTTACAATTTGTCAAGTCAGAGTGGACAAGGATTCTTCGCATGCTGAAAGCTATGCAGGGAGAGGGGTGACAAGGGGGCAAGAGAATGTAGCTTTTCATCAGCGTGCTTCATGACCTTGAGCAATTTTTTTTTTTCTTCTAATGCGCACCTTATTTTCAAAGTGTGATTACGCATGTGAGCGGAGGCACGCGGTAAAATCTCTCAACTGCCACGATAACTACACAACTTATGTTGCTCAAATCAGCCAACAGTGGTGACTTTGGGTATATGGCACAGTAATTTAAGTACAGTATGTAGCATCATTTGCAGAGAGGAGAGGAAACAAGTTTTAGCTGACAGAAAAGTATTTGTGAATTCCAGCTCTTGTGCAGCTCTATAATGTTTGGCTTAGCTGTTCTCAAAAGCCTCGACTAACGATTAGCAGTGTTTTTTGACCAAGTTCAAAAAGTGTTGTCCCTTTAAGCACACATCACAACACACAAACATCAGAAGCCTCACTTTTCGCTGACTTCATAGGTACCATCCTGGAATACAGATCTTGAAGGCTATGCTTGTGCTCGCGATACTCAAAAAACCTTAGTGGTGTTTGGTGCCAAGTTTGGGGTGCTATCATTACGTGGCAAAAATAAATCAAGATATGAAGACCAATTTCAAGCACAAGCACTAGGAAAGGGGTCGCAAACATGTGGCCCCCGGCGTCATGCTGAAACAGTCTTGTGGCTTTGCCAAATAGTATTCACGCTATTTTTTCACGAATTCAATTAAGGCAAGAAAAGACCGGTCTCAAGCATTTTTTTTTTCTTCGTGAGACATCCCTTGCGGTGACTGCGAGTTAAAAAACATCAATGTAGAACAAAAACAGAACCAATCAGCATCCATAATCATTATGGAAATCGAAATTAATATACCATCAGACCCCTTCAAAAACTGCCATATCGAAAACACATTCTTTTGAATGGCAACATATCGAATGACAATCACTTGAGTGGTTGCCATATTGCTTGTAGTCCCATCACTTTAGTGCTTGAGTCCCCATCACTTTAGTGCTTGTAGTTTACCTCCTATCACCAAATAGGACAACTGAGTGAAACCACTGTGGGCACACAGTGGTTATATTAACGATTTAGTTCAAGCCATCCGACCTGGCGTGTCTGTTAAGTTATTTGCAGACGATTGCATAATTTTTAATACCATAAATTCTATCTCTGACCAGCATGACTTGTGTGAGAACTTAATCTACATAAAAGAATGGTGTAAAAAGTGGGAAATGGTAATTAATTTTGAGAAAACTGTATATTTATGTCTGAGTAACAAAATCCGAAAACTGGAGTTTACTTATAATGTAGGTGGATACGCTATCAGGCAAGTAGAAGAATTCAAGTACTTGGGCGTAACGATTACATCGAAGCTTACCTGGACAGCACATATTGATGATATATGTTCTGCTGCCAGGAGAAAATTAGGCTTTCTAAAATATAAATTGGGTCGTTCTTCTAGTTCACTAAAACTTAGAGCCTATAAAGTCATAGTTCGTCCTTCTCTTGAATATGCCAGCATTGTGTGGGACCCCCACACAGCTGGTAATATACAGAAAATAGAAAAAATACAACGATTAGCTGCTCGATTTATATACAACCGGTATAGATGTCGCGATTCGCCGTCAGCCCTGTTGCACGATGCGAACCTCCAACTTTTGGCCGATCGAAGGAAAACTGCACGGCTTAACTTTTTCCGCCTTTTATACTTTTCCAGATCAGGATTGCACGCACCAGATTACATAACACAGGACACAACCAGGTCTTCACGTCATAAACATAGTCGTAGCATTACACCTATATTTGCACGCACTAACATTTACAAGTATTCATTTTTCCCGAGAACTGTCTCTGATTGGAATGCTCTGCCCCATGATTCCCCTATGCTCAACACGCCGAGATGAAACTATACCCGTTTTTTGTTGCTTAAGTCTGCTTCTTTGCCTGTATTTGTCCCTTGTTTTTCACGAGTTTTTAATGTACATGAATTTTGTTCTGCAGTGAATGTATACTGCAGCGGAAGTGTATGTATGTAGAAGAATTTTGTACTGTATTGCCCTCTCCTGCATGGACCATACTTGGTCCGCAGTATGTGATAAATAAATAAAATAAAATAAAACAATAACAATATTTATGCTATGAGAAGTTTTTCTCTTAGTAAAAACAAAAAGTTGTGACCATGCCCCTTTCTCTGGTGTTACTTAAAGCGACCCTCCCCCCTAAAAGGAATGGCTAGATCCGCCCCTGCCTTGCACTAGGATACTGGACTGTTCAGCAGGGTCGGATGGGACTCAAGCTGGCCAGTGTTGTATTGATGCAGTGCGTGACAGAGGTGTGGAGCGGCGGAGGAGGGGCACTTTCTCAGAAAAGCGTGGAAATTTGAATTTAGCAGTGAAATAAGAAAAGGCACTTGCTTGGAATTTCACAGTATGTTTTAACATTAATGAAAACAAGCACATTTACATGAATGTCAACAAATTTATTTTCATGTATTTCACACTCACCTTTGCCTCGGTGCTCAGGATTTTGTCAAGCTGCCGGAATGCCCTTAGATTGAACTTCACCAACTCGCCCAGGAGGTCAAAACTGCTTTGAAGCACTTCTTTCTGGCGAACATTACAGTTGACTAGGTTGCCAGCAACCAACTGCAAAATATAAATAGCACCAAAGTGTCAACTAAAATTTGAGACACGTCTAGTCTATATATACATGGGTTGCACGTAACATCAATTCTGACTAGCAAAGTGAGTGACCGCCATGTTTGTCAACATTGAGTCAAGCGGCGCTTGCAGCTTACCGCTGCGTCAGAGCTTGCCGGTGTCGAACGTTTGAGTGACATAGCGAAAGAAAATATGCACATGCTTTGTCCGTCATAGTTCGAAGAGCTTTTATGACTGACTAATGTATGTTACCGAACAATAATTTAAATGTACGATGGCATTGACCCGTACGTACTGCGCATCGGCAAGGGTGGCACCGAACATTGATCTGCTGCCTTCTGTGACACACGGTGACATCATGAACTATTTGGTGCTTTTAACAAGTCATATCACGTTGTAACAAATGAAAGCCTATAAGTCGCTGGACAGCCACTACTTCTACAGCAAAGCAGCTTCCATCACAGCGTGCCATTGTTCTAAGTGAGGTTAGTTACGACGCTCTCTGACATTACGGTTGAAGTAAAACCTCGTCTTTCTCAAGACGCTTGGGCTTCGACAGGATCTACTGCTGATAGTTCATTACGTTCAGCTTACGCGTCTATGACAGGCAATTCGAGCGATGTTCCTCTCGTTCCCGGATGTGACGTACATGCAACCCATGTATACACCGACTAACGTATTGATATTTTTTTTTTCTCCAGCATGATTGAGTTTTCCACTTAAAACTCTCAGACATGTCATTGCCCAGAGCGAGCAATGTCCGAGTGTATGAGAACTTCCTTGAATATTTTAGATAATTAGTTTATAATTTCAGGGGTTTCACACTGTCAAAACTATTGTATAATTATGAGGCAAAGAGTGTTGGGGGCTCCGGCTAATTTTGACAATCCAGGGTTCTTTAACGTGTATTTACACATCACAATACACAGTGGTGTGGCATTGTGCCTCTATCAAATATTTGATATCAGAAAGCACGCACGACACGAGTGCAATTTCAAAAATGCATTCACAAAAACTATGTGCAAGTCAACGATATCCCTTTCCATACCAGCAGCCAGTGTGCTAAACATAAAAAAAAGCAGTGCAGAAAAGCAAGCAAGGCAAAAATTGGAACCGAAATCACTTGTGCAACTTCTATAGGAGTCAATATCTTTTTTAGTGTAGTTCCTCTCAGAGGAAAGACGCACTCAAGGTGCTCAAGTAGGTGAATTAAAAAAATTTATCGTTGCACAATTAAAATAATTTAAATCATGGGAGTTGCCTAACGCCGCCTTGAAATGATGTGAAAAAGTTGCATTTTAAATGCAAATTTCGCTTGCAGAACAAAAACATACTTATGTCCAGTACACTGAAACAAAAAACACAGTCGTAGATGGAAAAGCCATTTTCACCTCCAATTGACATCAAAAAAATATCAAATGCGGGGCCCTTTCAAGATGGCAGCCCATCAAGTGAAAGGCCTTGTCAAGAGCCCTAAATGCTTTTGACATACTTTAAAGAATACTTTGACGATGATTTTTGAACATCCACAGCAAGAACTACGTAATGTTGATAGTTCCCACGAAAATAAATGTGATTTCAAAGACAACGTGGCATGTTCAGTGATCAACGCAAAGATTTTTTTCATTCTCTAGGGTCAAAACAAACCATTGTTTTGTTTTCTCAGATAAGTAGCCTTTTAAGAGGACCAAAAGCAACATTCTCAGGAGAAACAAATTAGGATATGTGTACCTATATGTGCAACTAACAAATCCTAGTGTCCAATACAATGGACATGGTTTTGCCAGGAAAACCACCATACATACTGTCCTCATTGTTTTTGTTCGTGCTCTTCGAAAGGCTATGAACTACAAAATAAAGTAGAAAGTTTTCCTCTGCGATGAAAAATTTGTGATGGAAAAAGGTATGACCAGCGGTTCACGTAGTATCAATTTATTGTCTTTGTTGTGTTCTGCTGAGACAGTGAACATTATTATGTTGAAGTTAACAATACATGTCATACCTCCCAAGTTCAAGGATACTGAACCCGGAAAATTTCTGCAATGAGGGGGTGGGGGTGGGGGGTAGTTGTACTGAATTATTCGCGTTTTTTTTAATTTGCACTGAAAGAAAAAAAAATTGCGGAAATAAAAAGGGCAGGTCCCAATCGCAAGCACAAACATCAGCATTGCAGTCTTATAATGACTAGGAGAGGCCAAACACAAGAGGGTAGGGTTTCCCACTAAGGTGGAAATCTCAAAGGTGTGAGCGAAAATACTCTAGAAATTTCATGTCATCAAAACAACTAGCAAAATCTATTTTTGCCAAGACAACTCGCGTATGTCTTCCTTGGACACATGTAAATGGACGGGACGGCACAGCTGTCTGTTGCGAAAGCGCGGGTCAAAGCTTTGCTCACTAATAGATTTTTTGGACAGGACCGCCATATTGCTTCTAGCCTTTTTTTTTATTTTTAGGGGCGAAGCTCCTTAAAGCGGCACCCTATCGTCTCTCGTGGTAGTAGTAGTAGTCGTAGTGTGTAACCAGTCTTAGATTTTGACCTCAAAGGTGGTGCCGGTGGGAGATTTCTTCTGTGGGTTGTTGAACAATAAAAAATATTGCAGCGTGCGCGTTAACTAAAAGCCTAATTCTCCTGTCTCTCATTACCCTTTAGCAGCCTTTGGCATGTACATTGAGCACTATCTGACAAGAAAGGGTTGCTACGTTATACTCGCTGGGTGTAACCTCCTTGGTTTTAGAAAGGTTTAGCGAGCGTTGGGTCGCAGTGCCATGAATACAGTGAACTTGTATATACCATGAACTCGAGGTGGTTAAAGGTGGGAAGTAGACACGAAGCGCAAGCTGTAAGAAAGTGTGCGTGTGCCTTCTCTCATTCAGTCCTTGGAATGTCCGCTGGATGACGGTGCTTCTATATGAGGAATATATATAATGAAAAGATGCGAGATGGTAGTACTTGGAGTGTTGAATAGATGGACGAACGGTCACACATACAGATGCATAGCCGGATGCACGGATGGCTGCACGGACGGATGGACGCATGGACGGACGCATGGACGGACGCATGGACGGACGCAGGAGCGGATGCATGGACGAACGCAGGGACGGACGCACAGATGGACGTGCGGACGCACAAACAGACGCATGCACGGACGGGCGAATGGAGGCACGGGTGGCCACACAGACGCACGCATGGACGGACGGAAGCAAGAACGAATGGATGGACAGATGCTTCGCCCCACTCTCCGTCATTCACTCCGTGGATATGCTGCCATTTTTTTTTTTTTGTCATTACCGCCTTCAATTTATCACTACATTAGCCGCGTGCCCTCGTCGCCGCAACCACGGTTTCGTTGTGGCAGTTGCAGCAAGGGTAGTTCCATTTTCAATCTGCGTGTGCTGGCTGCGCATGTGTCTTCAAAAATGTATCATTTTATGATATCTATTACTGCATTTGCCACAATTTTGTCCACGGATTTTCCGGAAAGCAGTGTTGCTGTGACTGGTCGAGTGTAAGAAGTGCGCACACTTTCGAAGTTCTGTCAGTGGCGTCTTTGCCACATGATCATGATTGTGTCAAGAATGACCGTGGTTTCATCCACAGCGGTTATGGCAATGACAACGACACGCACTGTAAAAGACAGCGTACTTCCAGGGCTGCGAACACGCTGCACTCGGCCTTTGTTCGATGGTTTCAGTACTAAAGTTCGTATCAACCACTAGGATTAGAAAAAGTGTTCAGAACATTTGAATTTTGGCCCAATAGACACCATGCAATTTGGCTGGGAAATTTCCCGAATTTGTATCAGCCACAGTTTTGCATCACTTAGATTCTACAGTACGTTTAGATGAATACCTTCTAAATTTGATAATAAAATGCGGTGGGTTTGCAAAAAGCCTGGAGTGGATTGACCTGTAATATTGTCAATGTGGCCAGATGACATACAGAAATTTCGATTTCCGGGAGATTTAACTGTACAAGCGGAAGAAACGGTCGAAATCCTGGAGTCTACTGAACGATCCAGTAGACTTGGCAGGTATGTACATGCTCTGTGCACGTAACTTTATAAAAGTAAAATATATTATTACATTGAGAACTTCCTTCTATGAAGTTAAATGTATGCCATGTACAAACTACAGCTAAACCTCAATACAACAATATTTTTAGCATAATGAAGTATCTGACTAACTTCATAACCAATAAACATAATAAATTTTTAATTTCCATACAATTAAACATATTTATCTGCAATGTCAATATTGGTTTCGAGATCAGACAGAGACGACACCTATGGGCAAGCGAATGATACCCCTGTGGCGCGTATGGCCCCCCTTATCGTCTGCTAGCACTGTGTTTGCATGCGTGCAAACATCAAACACATTCTCAGAGACAGCTTGTTCCATTGTGTTAGTACAGTATCAAATGCTTATACGTATGCCTACATGATATATGCAGGCATTTTCCTTAACAAGGCTCATATACCCTAATAAGTGAGTGCATAAACCTGTCGATGTGGTGCTTGGTGTAATCACCGCATCATCTTTTTGCCAATATCATTTCAATGTGGGTGCCATTTTGTAGTTCAAGCATATCATATAGTGCATTGGGCGTCATCCAAAACAAATGTACTAAATATAGGCTAGTGCGAATAGTGAATATTGGGTTTGAAGCGAACAGAGATTTTGGTCAAATAATTTTGAATCGAATTTAAACAGCATATATCACACATAGTAAAAAAAAAACGGGCATACTTGTCAGGACCTAAGTAACTTGCAGAATATATATATAAATATTTCTTAATCATAACAACAAGGCCTGTGCACTGAGGCCTGTGCAAATGCAATTTTCTTTTGGTTTAAAGGAAGTGGAAACAGCTTTGAATAGCAGCAGGATGTAAATTTCAGTAGAACGCAAGTGATAACCTGAATAATATTTCAAGTTTTAATGTGAACTAGACTTAGAGTATAAAGCCGGTATACCAAGCTTT